GTTTTACTCTGAATACAGATTCTAATCGAAATAAATTCATAAACATGAAATTTAAATTTTTAAATAATTGAGAAAAATAATTTAAAAACAAAGAAATATACATTTTATACCATTCTCTTCTCAATTGGGTACCTGAAAGTAACCTAAATCTCCAATATACGAAGTTGACATTAAAAGAAAAACTTATTCTACACAAAATTTCACTATAGGTTTCCAAATAAACTATATCTCTTTATATAATATATAATAAGAAAAAATTGATTCGAAAAATAAGTATAAAATAAAAATATATAATTCTCTTTTCCTAAATTGGGTCAACTTTTCTCCCCCAATACCACATTTTAGGGACATGATCGTAAAGAGAAAATTATTCCTCATTAAATTTCACTATACACCTTCACACAAAGAAATTTTGTTGACCTTATAGGTTCCATTGAAAAGTCCCCTCGAATAAGTTCACACTAACAAAAATTTTTTGGCAATTAAATATTGCACTTTTTCCAAGTTCATTGCAAAATTTCCTAAAAATCTTCACTTTAGATAGGTGACGTCAATGAAAGAAAGATTCTTCATCGAATTTCACTAAGGGTCTCTGAAGAAACGAAATATCTATGGGTAATACATCAATCACAATACTTGAATTTACTCATGACATTTTCTTAGCCGTCAATATTAAGAAACTAGGCCATAGTGCGTATGAGTGTTGTCAACACGTATACGCCATACTACCAATACCAAAGCAACTCTGAAAAAGAGAGAGAGAGGGGGAGAAGCTGATGGTCGAGTAATATAAAATTTTGCTAAAATTTAAAATTATATTTCTTGACATTTCATTGGAATTTACTCAAATATTTTTTTTTTTATTTTTAAAAATTGTGGCATTTAACATGAACGATTTGTTTCCCCTAATCTTATACTTTAGAGGTAGGGTACCAATGGAAACAATATTCCTCATTAAATTTCACTATAGTTCTCCACTCAACATAAATCTCTAAATGCTACAGGTTTCACGAAAAATCCCCTCAAAGAAACCCACTTTTATACAAATGTCCTTCCTTTTTAATTTCATATTTTCTTCGATTTCATTGCAAAATTTCCCAAAAATCTTAATTTTACATAAATGATGTCAATGAAGGAAAGAATCTGCATTGAATTTCACTAAGGGTCTTAGAAGAATACATCAATCACAATACTTGAATTAACTCATGTCATTTTTTTTAGCCGTCAATATTAGGAAACTTTATCATAGTGCGTATGAGTGTTGTCAACACATATACGTCATAGTACCAATACCATAGCAACTCTGAAAAGAGAGAGGCACAGAGAGGAAGAAACTGATGGTCGAGAAATGCAAATTTGCTATAATTCAAACTTAAAAATATTTTTTCTTTGAAATTTTATTTTGAATTAACCAAAATATTTTTTATTGATTTTTAAAAATTTTGACATTTAATATGAAGCAATTTTTCTCACTAAATCTTATACTTTAGAAGCAGTCTACCAATGGAAACAATATTCCTCATTAAATTTCACTATAGGTCTTCACATAAAATAGATCGTTTAATACTCTGGGTTTCATTAAAAATTGCCATTGAATAAACCCACTTAAAGGCAAATTTTTTTCGCAATAAAATTTCATGTTTTTTTCGATTTCGATGCAAAATTTCCCAAAAATCTTCACTTTACATGGTTGATGTCAATAGAAGAAAGGTTCTGCATTAAATTTCACTAAGGGTCTCGGAAGAAACGAAATTTGTAGGTGTAGCCTATCAATAACAATATTTGAATTTGCTTATTATATTTTCTTAGTAGTTAATATTTCATGAAATGTAGTCATAGTGCGTATGAGTGTTGTCAACACGTATACGCCCCATTACCACTAACAACAAATCTGAAAGAGGGAGAAATGGGTTGTTCGAATAATAGACATTTATTACAATTTCAATTTCTTAAAGATATTTCTTTTAGATTTCCTTTGAGTTTATCTAAATAATGTATTTATTGATTCTTTTACCTTTTTTTGCATTTGAATTGAACCGATTTTTCTCCCCGATTGGTATATCTTAGGAGCATGGTAGCAAAGGAAAAAATATTTTGCATCAAATTTCACTTTAAGTCTCCATACAAAAGAAATCTCAAAACATTTTAGATTTTATTTAAAATCGCATCGAATGGTGTTGCAAAAACCGAAAATTTTTGAAAGAAAATTTCATATTTTTTCTCATTGAATGCTTATTTTTCCTTATAAATCTTAATTTTAAGAGGTTCTTGTAAACGGAAAATATATTCTACATCGAATTTTACAATAGATGTCTGAACATAAGAAATCTGTAGGGATACCCGTCAATCGTAATATCGGAATTTATTTACGACATAATTTCCTACTGACTGGTTTGGGGTTAATTTTCGATGTATTCAAATTGGATCAACTTTTATCCTAGAAACCTACATTTTAGGAGCTTGCGATATAAGGAAAACATATTCTGCATTAAATTTCACAATAAGTCACCAAATAAAATAAATCTGTATAAGCTATAGATTTTCATAAAAATCATCTTAAATTATTATGCAAAATCAGAAAAATTTCGCAAGCCAATTTTTGTAGTTTTAAGAATTAATTTAAAATCTTCCCTATTAAATCTTTACATTACGATATTAATGGTAGGGGGAAATAAGTCATAAGTCAGAAAAGTCATAATATTATAACTTATTTATGACTTAATTTCATATAACTTTTTTTGTGTTAATTTTCTAGGTATTCAAATTGAACAAAATTTTCTGCTGGAAACCTACATTTTAGAAGCTTGTGATCAAGGAAAAAAATATTCTGCATCAAATTTTACTATAAGTCTTCAAACAAAAGACATTTCTAAACTTTATAGATTATTTTAAAAATCGCCTCAAATTATGATGCAAAAACCGAAAATTTTTGCAAGCAAAATTTCATGCTTTTTCTAATTGATTGCTTATTTTTCTTAATCCTAAACATTACAGATTTTATTAAAAATCGCATAGAATTATGATGCAAAAACCGAAAATTGATTGCTTATTTTTCTTAATCCTAAACATTACAGATTTTATTAAAAATCGCATAGAATTATGATGCAAAAACCGAAAATTTTTGAAACAAAATTTCATACTTTTTCTAGTTGATTGCTAATTTTTCCTAATAAATCTTAATTCTAGGTGAATATTTCCAATGGAGAACATATTCTACATTGAATTTCACTATAGGTCCCTGAAGTAATGAAATCTGTAGGGATACACTGTCAGTCATAATATCGGATAATATTTATGACTTAATTTCATATTGACATTTTTAGTGTTAATTTTCTGGGTATTCAAATTGAACCAAATTTTCTCCTAGAACTCTACATTATAGGAGCTTGGGATTAAAGGAAAAAATATTCTGCATAAAATTTCACTTTATGTGTCCATACAAAAAAATCTCAAAACATTTTAGATTTTATTAAAAATCATCTCGAATTAGGATGCAATACCCGAAAATTTTTTGAAGCAAATTTCATGCCTTTTCTAATTGAATGCTTATTTTTCCTAATAAATATTCACTTTATGAGATTAATGCTAAGGGTGAATATATTCTACATCGAATTTCACTATAGGTTCCCGAAGAAATGAAATCTGTAGGTGTCAGATATAAATCTCTATAATTTATTTTAAATGTGACAATTTCTTAGGTGTAAATATTTCATAAATACATCCAATGGTGCGTATCAGTTTTGACAATACTTATACGCATTTTAGAAGCTTGCGATGAAAGGAAAAAATATTCTGCATCAAATTTCAATATTAGTCTTCAAACAAAAGAAATTTCTAAACTTTAAAGATTATATTAAAAATCGCCTCGAATTATGGTACAAAAACCGAGAATTTTTGCAAGGCAAATTTCATACTTTTTCTAATTGATTGCTGATTTTTTTTAATAAATCTCGATTTTAGGTGATTATTGCTAAGGGAGAATATATTCTACATCGAATTTCACTAAAGGTCCCCGAAGAAATGAAATCTGTAGGGATACATTATTGTCAGTCATAATATCATAACTTATTTATGACTTAATTTCTTGTTGAGATTTTAAGTGTTAATTTTCTGGGTATTCAAATTGAACCAAATATTCTCCTAGAATTCTACATTATAGGAGCATGGGATTAAAGGAAAAAATATTCTACATAAAATTTCACTATAAGTCTTCAAACAAAAGAAATTTCTAAACTTTATAGATTATATTAAAAATCGCCTCGAATTATGATGCAAAAACCGAAAATTTTTGAAACAAAATTTCATACATATTCTAATTGATTGCTTATTTTTCTTAATAAATCTCCACTTTAGGATATTAATGCTAAGGGTGAATATATTCTACATCGAATTTCACTATAGGTTCCCGAAGAAATGAAATCTTTAGGTGCAATATATAAAACTCTGTAAATGAATTTATATGTGACAATTTCTTAGGTGTTAATATTTCATAAATACATCCAATGGTGCGTATGAGTTTTGACAATACTTATACGCACCAGTACTACTAAATATGAAATGGAGAGCGTAGCTGCTGAATTTTGAAGCTGCATATTTGCCAAAAATTCATATCTTTATTGATACTATTTTGAAGAATTGAATTCGGTTTACTTAACTAAATTTTTATTGGAATTGAATTTGAAATTATTAGGTATTTCAATTGTGCCTCGATTTCTCCCACAAAACTTCCCTTCAGAGTCTTGACTTCAAAGGGAAAATTATTCTTTATCGAATTTCAATTGAGGTCCTGGAATAAAATAAATCTGTATCTCCAATAGGTTAATGAAAAAATTCGTAAAACTTTTGATATGTAAATATATTTATTCGTATTTTTGATAGCACAAGAAACCACCACAAATTGTTTTATTAAAGTTTTTGATTATTTTTTTAAATAGAGGAATTCGTTTGATTTGTGTTTCCGATTAATTCACATTTCTGTTGTCTAGGATCCGTTCACAATTTTATTGAAACAAAGCTTGCAGAGATATGGGAATTGGACTGTGGTTCACATAGCATTGTAAAAATTCCTCTGCAGAATCACAGCTGGAAAAAAGAGACAATTTTATTATTTTTAACTTCAAAATAGAATATAGAAAATGAATGGGGAAAATTCCACATCCACAATTCCAAATCTATCCCCAAGAAGAGTAAAATAAACCATTTTTCATTAAAATTTCTTATCTTTCCGAATTTTGATTTTTTTTCTTCTTATCATTTTAAATTTCAGGATAAATTCAATTCAATTAAAATCTGAGTAAATTTCAAATATTTTAAATATATTAAAAATATATTTTCTTTTGCTTACGTATTTTCTCCAGTCTTTATGTGTTGTATACAATAATTGGCATTTTGTTCCATAACCTTGTAGACTTCCCAATTGCCATAGGAAGTTATGAAGGCGGTACGACGGGCCAGGTCAGAGCTAAAGGTGTGATCTTCTTTGAACTGGAAATAATTTTCCAAAATAATATTTTTTTTTTAATTTTAATATAAGAAAAGTTCCTACCAATTGACACTCCTGAAATAGACAGCCTCGGAAACATTTTGCCGGATCGGATGCTGCCGGTTTTAGTTGAAGATATTGCTGCAAATCATCTAAAATCAAGGGGAGAATATTTAATAATTTTTTATTTAAAAAAATAAAATATTTTCAATTTTTATATCGGAAATACCATCATTGGTTCCATGTGCGGCAGCACAGCGGGATATTATTTTGCGGGCCACATCACCAATACACCATTCAGCCTTTAAAATAAATAAAATGAAAAAGAAAAATAACTAAAATATAAAACTTCCTTGGTTGTAATTTCTAGAAAATAGGTATCAAAAGATGCAGGAGGAAAGATAGAAAAATATAGAATTATTACGAAATGTCTTAGCTTTTCTGACCTCCAAAATATTCCCTATTTTATATAGAAACTGTAGTGCGTATAAGTACTGACAACACTCATACGCACCACGGATGTTTTAATAAAAGAATAACGGTCAAGAAAATGTCACAAATCAATTCGAGTATTGTGAGCGAATTATTACACCTAGAGATTTCTTTTCTTCAGAGACCCATAGTGAAATTCGACGTAGAATATATCTTCCATTAACATCATTCCTCTTAAGTGGAATTTTTTGGGAGATTTGGCAATGAGGTCGAAGGGAGTTCCATATTTCAGCAAAATTAAAATTTCCGTTTTTGTGCCAAATGAGAGGGGATTTTTTAAGAAACCTATTAGAATTAGAGACTTCTTTTGTTATGTGACATATAGTCGAATTTTCTATAGAATATTTTTTCCTTTGATATCATGCTTCTAAAAGTTGAGATTGTTGTAGAAAATTTGATCCTAACACTTAACTATTTTTATAACACTTTGCTATTTTGATAACATTAATTTTGTGAATTCTATTCAATTTTCAAAAAATATATTTGTAAAAATGTGAACGTAGGCTATATTTACGTCTTCTATAAATTTTTCTCCGGGTTTTTATTAGTTCCAAGTAGTATTAGTGCGTATACGTGTTGACAACACTCATACGCCCTATATGATGAATATTAAGGTATAAGAAAGTGCCACAAATAAATTCGAGAATTTCGAATGAAATATTAAACCTACGAATTTCTTTTCTTCAGAGACCCTAATTGAAATTCGATGTAGAATCTATCTTCCAATAACATCATTGCTCTAAAGTGAAATTTTTTGGGAGATTTGGCTATGAGGTCGAAAAGAGTTCCATGTTTCATCAATATTAAAATTTCGGTTTTTGTGCCAAATGAGAGGCGATTTTTTTAGAAACATATAACAATTAGAGACTTCATTTGTTCGGTGACTTATAGTGAAATTTGCTGTAGAATATTTTTTCCTTTAGTAACATGCCCCTAAAATGTAGGACTGAGTTTGAAAATTTGGTCCAATGGGATTACCAAATAATTATCCCAAATAAGAAAATTTTTCTGAAATTCTAATTTAATTTGGAAATTTCCAATAATCTGTTATATCTACAGCTAAACTTTGTTTTGAGACTAACAGTGGAATTTAGTGGGGAATATTTCTCCTCTTTACAGTATTCCCCTCAAATGAAGTTTAGGGTCACTTTCGTGCCAAGACTGGAAAACGCACAAACCAAAATTGTTAAAAACCAATAAATAAAGCAGTATTTTTTTGGTCAAACTTCTGGCGGATATTTTCTGGTTATATATTATATGAACCAAATTTTATTTATTCGGAGACTTATAATGAAATTTAGCGTAGAATATTTTTTCCTTTAGTATGATGACCCTAAAATGTAGGACTGAGTTTGAAAATTTGGTCCAATGAGATTACCAAAATATTATCCCAAATAAGAAAAATTTCATGAAATTCAATTTTGTATTGTAAATCACCAATAACCTGTTATACCTACAGCCAAACTTTGTTTTGAGACTAGCAGTGGAATTTAGTGGAGAATATTTCTCCTCTTTACAGTATTCCCCTCAAATGAAGTTTAGGGTCACTTTCGTGCCAAGACTGGAAAACGCACAAACCAAAATTGTTAAAAATCAATAAATAAAGCAGTGTTTTTTTGGTCAAACTTCTGGCGGATATTTTCTGGTTATATATTATATGTACCAATTTTTTTGTTCCTAGACTTATAGTAAAATTTGTTGTAGAATATTATTTCCTTTGATACCAAGCTGCTAAAATGTAGGATTGTGGGTTGAAATTTGATTTAAAAAAAATATACTTACATTTCGAAAGGTTGATGCACGAACACAGGCCACCAAAGCCAAGAGAATTACGAAGTTTATAATTTTCATGATGACACGTAAATTCTTTGATTCTTAAACTCGTTCTTAAAATGTGGAACTTTGTCTTTATTTGAGTTATGAATTTGCTAACTAATTTATATACATTAGTAGCGGTATTTATATGAAAGTTTTCTTCCAATCACATTAGTCACAAATAATTATCATGTAATATTGAAATTATTGCTACAAGCATTCCAATTTTGTTTTATGTTCTGTTAACATTAAAAAAACAACACTTCCGCTAAGATGATTACAAATAATTTCTACCTTGGAAAAATATTTTGTAATAAATCCAAGCCTTGGCTACTTGACAAAAATTATTTTTTAATAAATCCACGCTACTTGAAAAAAATATTTTTTAACAAAAATATTTGTTAAATTTTATTTTTGAAATGCTTTTATTTTCATAATTTTTTCTAAATAATGTTTTATTATATTTCGTAGCCATTTTCAGAACAGTCCCTCATACGACGCTCCAAATGGCAGATTACTACGCATACATTGTATAAAATCTTCCGTTTTATCGCATCTATCAATAAAATAAGAAATGTTAAGACTTCTTCAAGTTAACGTTGGGCGCCACTCTGCCCTCCTTTCATACTTACACACTATACCTTGTATGGCCATATTCATATGTAATTTCTGGCAATGATTTTAAACAAAATTGCGCAGCATCTCTAGCCTGAATCCAGAGATGGGGATTTTTGCGGGTAAATGTAAATGCGGTGATTTCGGCAGCATTGCCGACAAAACTGCCATCGGTGTTGTACTGAAATGGGAAAACAACATACATTTATTATAAGGAGATATTTCCAGGCTCTCTTCTCGAATATTCTCTGAGTACTATTAGAGGTTTATACAAAAAATACTCACCGCCTTACAATCAACATGGGCGCAGGCTCTGAAGCATTCCATGCGATTATTGCGGGCCGGTATCAAATATCTTAAGTCATAGTAATCACCTAGAGATTTTTTTTAATTTGGAAATATTATTTTTTTCACTTACCTATTGTTGCCCCAAATATGGCCCCACAACGCCTCAGCGACTTTTGTAAAAATTCTCCGCTACAAAAATCATTCTAAAATCATTTTTTATACCCTTCACCACACTGTGGTACAGGGTATTATGTCTTTGTGCATATGTTTGTAACAGGCAAAAGGAAACGAGATAGACACATGGTTCCTTTTGAGAATATGCATAGAATCACTTTCTGAGTCGATTTATGCATGTCCGTCCGTCCGTCTGTCCGTCTGTCCGTCTTTCCATGTTAAATTGTAAACAAAGTACAGGTCGCATTTATGATCCGAATTGGATGAAATTTGGCATAGGTCACTTATTCGGCCCAAGGACGAACCCTATTGAAATTGGGAAAAATCGGTTCAGATTTAGATATAGCTCCCATATATATATTTAACCGATTTAATGTAAACGGTCCCTATATATCTTTCGATTTGCACGAAATTTGGTACAGCCTAATCATTTAGGTCTAGAATGATGTCTGCCAAGTTTCGTGAAAATCGGTCCAGATTTAGATATAGCTCCCATATATAGTTTCGTCCGATTTCATGTAAATAGTGCCCAAAGTCCCTATATATCTTCTGATTTGCACGAAATTTGGCATAACGTACTGAATTAAGCCTAGAGGGATGTCTGCCAAGTTTGGAGAAAATCGGTCCAGATTTAGATATAGCTCCCATATATAGTTTCGTCCGATTTGATGTAAATGGTCCACCAAAGTCGCTAAATATCTTCCGATTTGCACGAATTTTGGCATAACGTACAGAATTGAGTCTAGAATGATGTCTGCCAAGTTTCGTGAAAATAGGTCCTGATTTAGATATAGCTCCCATATATAGTTTCGTCCGATTTCATGTAAATGGTGCACCAAAGTCCCTATATATCCTTCGATTTGCACGAAATTTGGCATAACGTACTTAATTGAGCCTAGAATGATGTCTGCCAAGTTTCGTGAAAATCGGTCCAGATTTAGATATAGCTCCCTTTTATTATAGATTGATTTTAAGTAATTGACGTACTAAGGAACCAATTGGAATAAAACGTTCTGAAAGTTGTATAACCTAACCTGTTACAAGTTTGTTTGAAATCGCTCAATATTTGGATAGAGCTTCCATATATATTTTCGCCCGATTTCTAGTAAATTGGGCATCAAACTCCTCATGTTAGTCAGATTGACATACAATTTTGCACAACTTACAAAATTGAGCATAAAATTATATAGTTGCGTTTTCTAGAAGTGCAGACATAGCCCAACGGATGACCTATTTATATTTGTTTGAAGTCGATTGACATACTTTATGGATAGATCTAGGTAGATTCACATTTAGATAAATATCAATTTTTTTTTCATCCAATTTTATGTTATAGTCCTGCTTAATATACCCATAGTGGTGGAGGGTATCATATAGTCGGCCCCGTCCGACTTTACTACTTTCCTTACTGGTTTATTACAAAATTTTTCGAATTCTAAATATTTCCTTTTTAATTTTTACCAACCGGTTTTAAATTCATCGAATTCGATGTGCTAATAAAAAATTGAAAGAGCAAAAGCAATCCAATTTTGGGCTTCATAATGCCAGTATCTCGCCGAGATTTGCACCCTGGAAGGTAATCTTTAAAATAAATGTGATTCCGATTAAGATTGCTGATTATATATAAAATTAGATATTAGATAATATTGAATAATTTAATTTAATTATATTATTAATTAAAAATTCGACTGGTTTGAATTTGCAGATACTTTATTAAAAATAATATTTTTTGTCAAGTAGCCAAGGCGTGGATTTATAAAAAAATAGAGGCCTGTCGAAACCTGTCTAAGGCGTGGATTTATTACGAAAGAATCGAGGCCTGTCGAAGCCTGTCTAAGGCGTGGATTTATTAAAAGATATTTTTCCAAACCATCCAACCATAAAAATCCAAATATAATAAATTATTTAAAATAATTAAAATTGAGTCTAATTATCTTCAAATATTGTCAATGACAAAGATTCGGCACTAGAGAGAATAATTTACGATTTTTTAACAATGTGCGACAAGCAAATAAAACCTCCGAACATTTATTTTCAATTTGAATTTTTTAATTAAATAAAAGATTTTTGTATATTTTTCTGGAATATAAATAAGATCAGTTCGGAAGAAATACGACAAAGAAGATCGAATACGTTCAGCGAAGGAAAAAAAGATTTTAGACCGACAACAAAAACAAATATTATGAAATTATTTGCCGCCTTAATTATTTATGGTCTAATAGCTGCCAATGATGCCATTAAACCGGTAAGTGATCGGAATATTGGAAATTTTTGTTTAACGGATTCGAAATAATTTTGTTTATTATTATTTTGATTTTTTTCGATATTATTTCCAGAATGACTGGTGTTATGGCCCTTATTTGAAAAATGAAATGGATGCCTGTGCTGTGGCGTATGGGGCTACGCAGGGTAAAAAAATTGAAATTATTATTTAAAACTTCTTTGAAAATAACTTCTCCTTTCAGGTGATCTCTATGATTTGCTGCATTTGAATCCTGCTCGAAATTTGCAAATGAAATGTTATCGGGCCTGTGCCTTTAATGCCTGTCGGGCGGTAGGTATTCGATGAGGATGTTTTGTGGGACCTTTTTTTGATTTTTGTGTTAATTTTTTTCTATTTGTGTGAACAGTTCAATTTGGATGGTAGTTTTGCTCCCCATGTCCCCTACACCATGGCCTTTAGTATGACCCGCATACATGCTGAAAATTGGGCCATAATCCGAGAAGCCACAAAATATTGTCTGAAGATTCTGCCAACGATATCGTTTGCTCGTCCCTATAAGAGTAGTAATGTGTAAGTAAAAAATATTTTTTGTCAAGTAGCCAAGGCGTGGATTTATGAACAAATATTTTTTGAAGCCACAACAAGGCGTGGATTTATTAAAAAATATTTTTTTTTTCAATTTTCTAAGGCGTGGATTTATTAAAAATATTTTTTTAAATTTTTCTAAGGCGTGGATTTATTAAAAAATATTTTTTGAAGCCACAACAAGGCGTGGATTTATTAAAAAATATTTTTTGAAGCCACAACAAGGCGTGGATTTATTAAAAAATATTTTTTGAAGCCACAACAAGGCGTGGATTTATTAAAAAATATTTTTTGAAGCCACAACAAGGCGTGGATTTATTAAAAAATATTTTTTGAAGCCACAACAAGGCGTGGATTTATTAAAAAATATTTTTTGAAGCCACAACAAGGCGTGGATTTATTAAAAAATATTTTTTGAAGCCACAACAAGGCGTGGATTTATTAAAAAATATTTTTTGAAGCCACAACAAGGCGTGGATTTATTAAAAAATATTTTTTGAAGCCACAACAAGGCGTGGATTTATTAAAAAATATTTTTTGAAATTTTTCTAAGGCGTGGATTTATTAAAAAATATTTTTTGAAATTTTTCTAAGGCGTGGATTTATTAAAAAATATTTTTTGAAATTTTTCTAAGGCGTGGATTTATTAAAAAATATTTTTTGAAATTTTTCTAAGGCGTGGATTTATTAAAAAATATTTTTTGAAATTTTTCTAAGGCGTGGATTTATTAAAAAATATTTTTTGAAATTTTTCTAATAATATTTTTTGAAATTTTTCTATGGCGTGGATTTACTAAAAAATATTTTTTGAAGCCACAACAAGGCGTGGATTTATTAAAAAATATTTTTTGAAACCATCACAAGGCGTGGATTAATTAAAAAATATTTTTTGAAGCCACGACAAGGCGTGGATTTTTAAAAAAAAATATTTTTTGAAGCCACGACAAGGCGTGGATTTATTAAAAAATATTTTTTTAAATTTTTCTAAGGCGTGGATTTATTAAAAAAATATTTTTTTAAATTTTTCTAAGGCATGGATTTATTAAAAAATATTTTTTTAAATTTTTCTAAGGCGTGGATTTATTAAAAAATATTTTTTTAAATTTTTCTAAGGCGTGGATTTATTAAAAAATATTTTTTTAAATTTTTC